TGATATAAATAGATACAAAGGAAAAAAGCAAAGAAAAACAACATATTCTACCACAATTTAGGACTGTGACCCTGGTATCGATCTTTCAGAACATCGGAATATCAAAATAGATCAATATTCAAAGTTAGGAGAGAAGAGCATGGAACTCAGAGATCTCAATTCATTAGGACTTGAAGGAAGACTCCCAGTAGAACCTAACTAATCACGTTACATTAAAAAAAATGAAGTACTTCCAGTGGGGAAGATAAAGATTTGGATAAAGATAGAGACAATAAGGATAACAATTCTATAGTAAGTTGTTTTGTTTCTTGAAGACAGATCTTTATTCTTACTTCGAAGCAGCCTAAAAGGATGTAAGGGTGGGAATAAGGTGCAAAGAAAAAATTACAGCCCTTTTTTTTTTTTGCTGAGCAAGATTTGCCCTGAGCTAACATCTGTTGCCAATCTTCCTCTCTTTTTTTTTTCTCCCCAAAGTTCCAGTACATAGTTGTATATTCTAATTGTAGGTCCTTCTACTTCTTCTATGTGAGCTGCCACTACAGCATGGCTACTCACAGAGGGGTAGGGTGGTTCCGCGACTGGGAACAGAACCGGGGCCACCGAAACGGAGCACGCCGAACTTGAACCACGAGGCCATCACAACTGGCTCAAAATTACAGCATTTTTGATATTAATTCCCTACATATATACACTTGCTTTAGTTCCTTTTTTTCCTTTGCTACATAGCCATGACATTTACCTCCGATAGCTGTAAGGAAATCAAATCAAACACTTTTTTTTTAATTTCCTAACAAGTAAAAACCAAATGTAAGGTATGTTGGATATACACACAAACCTAAGTACTACCATTCAAAACAGAGTGAGTTTTTACATCCAGCCCATCTGGTGTGATATTTGGGTGTATCCTATAGAAATCTAACCAAGGGTGACTGCCAAACTAAGCCAAAGGAGACAGCTCAGGAAGCTGGTGAGTCCACAACATAAGCTCTATTTTTGAGTATCTGCTTAATGAGATCATCCGAGATCACTCCACCCTCATAATAACCCTGTTCTACCTCTGTCATACTGTTTTTGTCACTAAGACCTGGGTCAGCAGTGGATGCGGTGGACACCCCGAAATATTCACATTATAGAGAGGTATCAGTTAAGTAATCTAACTAACCCACAAAGTAATATCACAGTTTTATGTCCCAATCCAGACAACCTCATCCTTCTGCTAAGGGACCTAAGAGGTCAACTGATGTCTTGAAGCCTCCATTTCCACACATGAAAAATGAAAATCATAATATGCTTCTGCTTCACTAGGTTCTAAAAATGGAAACTAGCCAAGAAAAAAAATGAATGTGAAGCACTCTGAAAAGAATAAACTAGATTCCCTGACCTGATTATTGGTCAGAGTCTTGTAAAACTAGAATTACTACTTCTAATTCCACACATGCCACCTGGCCATCACACCGACTGATAAATAGCATTGACTATGAAGTTGATCCATGTAAAGGTTTTAAAGTAATAGAAACAAAGTTTGTGTCACAATGTATTTTCATACCACTTAACTATCTCGAAGGAAAACACACTTACTGGTATTATAAAAATAGGAGGTAAGAAAAATAATATTAATCACAAGTTTTTGAACTTCAAAATTTTTTCAAAATAGTCAGCAGCATGTATAGAGCAGTTTGAAACCAATACTGAAGTGTCTATGCAAGAATCGGAAATGAGCTAACCCAGAAACAGAAGGAACCACGAAGTCTCATCTGATGGGCCAAAAGACAATATGGATTATTTTTATATTGTTCTGTCTGAGTTGTCTGTTCTCAGATTCCTAACTTCTAGATTCTACTTTTAAAATCACTTAACATTGTGTATTTCCAGTAGCCATCAAGGCATATACTGTCATCCCTGACACCGAAGATTGTCAGCAGACTCAATATATACACTAACGATCTCAGGCGACAATGCCCATCTGCTCATCAAAGAGATCCTTATTCCACAAGAAAAAGTCTATTCTCCAAGAAAACTCATTCTAAAACATAGGAAGTAGTCACTATAAAATGTTACGATCACTAATACCTCTTACTTCTTTTTAAGATTATCTTACATGCTGAATTTTCAAACCAAAACTGTCAGGCATTATAACATTTTCAGTTATTCCCAAGTCGCTTATGCTCCCTTCTAGTACTGTCAAATAATGAAAGCTGCTGTCATTATTTTTTATACAATAGCTGGCAGCAAGTTGTACAGATACCCTTCATCTTAGAATAGTCATCAGATAACCTAAACAAATGACTAGGAGCTTTTAGCAACACTGACCCCTTTCCTAAAGCCAAAATTAGTGGGCTATCACCTCTTATTGACACTTGACTGCCAGAATGTTAATTATTTTATAAAAATCAAAGGTTTTATTTCTTTTATTCTTTTCTAAACTGTTTTAAAATAACTTTTTCCTTCTTATACATATACTTCTGTCCTCTCCTTGCTGACACTGGAGGCTATCTTATTCAATCATAAAGGTTTTCACATTTACTTTTGGCTTTAATACTTTCAATCAAAATTGCAATTCTGTTTTGGAAAGCAACAGCCCTTCAGGAAGTACATTTAAAGATATTAAAAAAATGCAGAAAATAAATAAGTTATTTTCATTTAATCAAGTCAACAAGGCATATAAAAGGATTTAGGAAAACCAGTGATCTCAGAAACATGTGATTTGACAGGTCACATACACACAAAAATTATTCCAAGTCCCAGAAAAACATCTGAGTGACCGATTCTAGGTGTCTTGTTCTAATTAATAGACAAGAGTCCCTCTCTGCACTGTTTGCTTTGGCAATCTAAAATGTTGATATTCTCCTAGATCTAACAGAAAGGAAAAATGGGTATCTTCTCCATCTAACACCTAAGTGGGTAACCTAGATACTGTAAATGGAGGCTACATAAAGGATGCAACAGACAGCTCTGAAGTGAGAGCCAAAACATTTAACCTGCGACTCTTTGGAAAAGAACGCGAAAACACGTGCAGCTTAGCCAAAAACTAGACTAACATGGAATTGCCACGGGCTAGTAGGTTTAAAAAAAAAAAAACTCTTTACCCAACATAATTTTACTGCTGTTAGGTGAGAAAAGTTCAAACGTCAAAAGCACAGTTCTTATTTGTTCAAATTGATCATGCCTACGCTCTGCACTGTTTATTTAAAATAAATGGGTGAACTGCCTTTTTCAAATGAGTATTTGCAAAACCAGGATCAAATTCACAAATAAAGGAGCCAATTAACCAATTAACAAGCCTTTCCCTGCTTATATTCTAGTAGTGGCTAGGAGATGACAGTGAAAAGTCTACGATTAACCATTATTATCTACCCCATATATTCAACGTTTCTAAAGCCAATGGCGAAATATTCAGCTAACAGAAATTGCATATCAATCTATCTTTACTCTTTAGGAAATTATACAAAAATTATCTGAGAAATAAAAATCTGTTCTACCAAAGAACTACTAATACTAAATGCAAAAATTGTACTGCCAACATCACAGTAGTGTAACTTTTATCAAATCAATACCAACTAGCAAAAACATAAATTAATGCCACAAGATACATCATAAGAGATTAGCACTATAATTTAATATACATTCACCCACTCACTATTTATTTTTCTTTCTACATGATAAAGGAATTTCAACAACTGATTCTAGAACGAAATCTTCCTAGGAAGTGCTTCCCATTAATAAAAAGAAAGAAAACTTTTAAATAAGTAAAATTTCACATAGTTCATTCAAAATCTCAAGTCAGTAGCTAAAATCAATTAAAGTTAATGAACTGCAAAATGTATTCAATAGTACTCTATATACTTCTGTTTATAATTCAGAAGTCTTTACTATTTACAAAGCTAGTAGCTTTATAATAACCTTAAGTATTGAGAACTGTGAGAGGGAAGTGGAAAGGAAAATTTGTTCTCTCGACTAATCAGAATTAACTTAAGAACATGCTCATAATTCAGTTGATAATTCAGTTTTCTTTAGCTAGTAAATCTTTGTGAAAAAAAAGGAAAGAAAATGCCATTCCTTCACATCTCACCCAAATAGAAAACTTTTAAATTAAATTATATTTACATATATAAATCATTACAAATCAGATGTCCTTTCTGTATAAGAATATAACACATACCAAAAGTATAACGAAAACACAAGATTTCAAATTATGTTTGAGTAGGAGTGACAGAGCATTTGCACTTGATAACTAAACTGATAAAACATTATAATTAAGAGAAAAACCATATTCTTAATAAACTATTTTGTCTTCTGTCACTGACAGCATGTAAGTTTCTCTTTTATTACACAAAAACAATGTTTACTCCATCCATGAATAACTCTTTATCAAAAACAGTAGCCCAAACTGTCTATTTCTGCAAGTTCAAAACATCCTTCTGAATTTTCTCAGTTCTTCTCTGGACAGTCTAAAACAAACCTCTTTCACTTTGTTAGAGAAATGGATGTAAATGAGCTCTACAAATTTTCAATTACACTTCACTTCCAATGCTTTGAAGGAGAAACTTTCACACGTTAAAAAAAAAAAGGCAAGTAACACCGCAATTCTACCACCGATGGTACCAGCTTTGTGCCAAAGCAATATAAAACCATTTCATTTTTTTTTTTGTGAAGAGTACTTTGGAAGTGACATGTTTCCATATTTTTTATCCAACAACAACAACAAATCTAGTCATAAATCTGGCAAATCAAAACAATAACCAGCAAAGCCTAACATTTCTTACCTGATACAGGTAAGCACCAGCTCCCAAATGCCACCTTGGGATAGTTCAGACTAGTAAGCAGACTCATGTTTTATGATACCAGAATGAACAGGAATAAATCTGTGTTGTTCTTTCTTTAGCAAAATCTATAGCAGCAACTACACCACAATCTGAGAGGACCCCACAGACCTAACAAATTCAAGTCTGTCGCTAGAGAAATAGGAAAAAAAAAAAAAAAATCATAAAATGAAGACTTACTGCTCGTCATGTGACTTGGTGAGGCGTGCTGTCCATTGGGTGTGCTTGAGGTGAGGTCAATTGCCATATTGGAGTGCTCCCTTTCAGGTGAAAGCTCATTGTCACCTGTGTTCACAAAATAAAATCTTTTGGTCTCTGTGCATCGTCACATAAATTCTAATTGCCAACTTTGTTTCATACATGCAGTGGCATGCAGAGCCCTGAAATGTTAATGGAATACATTGTTCCCTTGAAAGAAACTATAAGGAAATATCATTTAGAATACAGTCAATGAATGGAATGATGAAAAGCCACGACCAGCCCATGATAAAAAAAAAATTACAAAATTTCATTATCGCAAGAATCTTAACTGCAAAACAAGGGGAATTGGGGTAGTTGATTTCTAAAGTATCCTTTAGTGAAAAAAAATAAGGTTTCTTTTAGCATCTAATTTAATCATTAAGCATACAGTATTTATAACGAGCACTTTCCAAAATGTTGGCTTTCAGAGAGTTTGATGTTTGAAAGGAGAGTTGGCTAAAAACATGTCAACTTAAGGAAGCTAATTCTCTTACACATTATGTGTTGGAAAAATTAGGTTACACAGTAGTAAATATTTAGTACATCCCAGATTAGTAGACATATATGTAACCTGAACTATTCTAAACTTAAAGTAAATGAAAAAAATGAAGTAAGAAAGTGTTGATCTGCTAAGCTACCACTGATTTAAATATTATCCTTAAAATAGTAAGTATATTTCTATATTTCCTTCTGACTTCACTTCTGTGCTGTTATTTTCTCAAACTCATTGAAAGGTGAAATGGTGACCAGATAGAAAATAAGATGACAGAAAACTTATAATTCAGACATTAAAATACAGGTAATACAAATATAATTTTATTACCAATAACAAATTAATGAAAATGAATACTTACACGTTATATAGCCATCAATAGCCTCTGTTTCCATAGTCAAAGTGCAATGCTGCAAGACAAAAGATTATATCCTTAACACAGTGATTCCTTTCAGTATCTGCCATTAAATACTTAACTCATATGAAGCTGCAAGCAGCTAGCCCATGTTGCTGTTCCTGCAACCTGTGCCCAAGAAACATACTACAGTGTACTGCATGTGCTCATTTGCAAGTCATAGAACTCTTTCTGCAAATGATCTGATTCCTGCTGGAGATAGGGGAAGAAAGATAAGTGTGCTGCGAGATGGGCTGGAGCAAGAAAGGAATGACTCTTTTATTCAGAATTGACTTGGTTTAAAGGAGAAAAAATGGGGGGGGGGACACCTCAAATGTGCCAGCTTTAACTGGGATTTAAGTATTTTACCATTCACGACTTCCTACAATCGCACTGCAGTGAGAGGACTTCCCTAGTATACAGATAGCTCTATTCACAATTGTTGCCAGTCGGTTCATCATGTTCTAATAGGGAGGGGGGGAGGACAAACAAACATAAGAAAACAAAACAAAACAAAAAACTTAGTACCCAAGTGTCTCGAAGGTTTCTGCAACAGTTACCCAACTCCCGGACTTGTACTGACATTTTCGCCTACCCCAAGTTCTGTGCAAGCACCTGTTCAGTGTAACCTTAATTTCCTGCCAGACCATGGTTGGATACAAACGCCAAGCCTACTTAATACATTCTGATTTTGAAAATTTCCTCAACTTTTTGCTGTCGGGAAAGGAATTGCTTTTTTAAAGTTTGGGGAATTATTTTCATGCACCAATGACACCAAACAAGCACTTACTTCTCAGAAACAAAAAGTAAATTATATGAGATGACACCCCCTAGCTTTGATTGCACATAATGAAAAGATCGATAAGCTAACTGTATTCTTTGAAGGAAAAAGTTTAAAAAATTGACATGTCCTGAGGAGATTTTTACTTATTTTTTTTTCTTTGGCCCTGCTCCTTTTTGCCTTTAGTTTCAAAACTCTCACTGCACCAGCAGCTAAATTATTCACAATGAGCCATTTCTGTATTGATCGCCAAGTATATTTAGCCCTGGCTCCTGGAATTTCTCCATTACTTACTGGAAAACAGGCAGCTTCACTTCTTGTCTCCAAAACCACTTCCCTTCTCCCTCCCCTCCCCTTCTTCACCACCACCCTCCCTACCCCCCAAAAAACTTTTCTTTCTTTCTTTATGGAATAATCAGATCAAATTCCCAACTCAGTCACTACACATAGCACTTAAATTTCAACCTGCTGTACTGTTATCAAATTCTTTCAAATTATGATTACATAAGGCTTTCAAGAAAGGCATCCGTAAAGTTTAAAAGGGGAGCAGTTTCTTCGGATATTTTACAAATGAGTTTATCTCTTTAAAAATGTACACATTTAACACACATATTAAAGAGAAAGAAACGTCAGGGAGAAGCCAAAGAAGTCTGCCCCATCAATGAAATGGTTATTAACCCTCAGAGCAAGAAAGAAAGAAAAAGCAAAGGAGAAAGAGAAACGAAATGTACATACAAAAGAAATTGTCCTTTGATTAAAAAAGATTCATCACCATTTCCAGCTCTGTCGGGAGATCTCTGCTTCTTCTAACCCCTCAAAGAGGAGGTGACAATGTCGGGCTGAAGATAAACGGAGAAAGAAAGAAAGAAGTTTTTTGTGTTTCCCCCTTCTCTCTTTCCCTCCCTTGCCCCCTCCAAGCCAAGCCCCCTGCAGAGTTCAAGGCGAGGAGGAAGGGAAAGGACTTTACAGGTGGGTCATTCCGAGCCCAAATCCAGCAAACAGATCGGCTGATAAACAAAACCAAGAAATGAGAGAGAAGGAACACCCCCCTTCTCCTCCTCCTCCTCCTCCACCTCCTCCTCCTCCTTCCACCCCTCCCCCTCGTCCCTTTGGGATGGTCTAGTAGGAAAAGTCACTCAGGAATGGCACCACGTACTTTCAGGAAAGAGGAAAAAAAAAGAGAGAGAGAGAGAGGTCAGTCAGTGCTACAGCAATGCGATTAACAAGAAGAGAAAAAACTTGATCCACCGGTTCCTTAAGAATCGACCAAAAGCTAAGACAAGAAAACTGAAAGAAAAGGTTGGGGGGGGGGGGAGTAGGAGGGGAGGGACAGTCAGGCACAACCCAGCTAGGAACCTAGGCCAACTTCACAGGACTGTTTTTCGCCCTTGGCAAAAAAAAAAAAAAAAAAAAATTAAATCTTAATTCTATCTCTTTCGCCCATACTAGAACCTGTCAAAGTGATTAAACTGCTGCCTTTTGACATGTGTCATACCAGGTTTTTGTTGTTGTTGTTGTTTTAATTCCAACAGGATCTGGATACTACCTTCTCTCTGGACAGCTGCAATTTATTCCAGGCTACCCAATCTTTCTTGGAATTCAAGTTAAAACAAAGCCAAACAAGTCCAAATCCATGCTAGCCACAGAGATGAGAACTGATTAATCGATTAACATCCCAGAAACAGCTTACAAGGAGGGGACAATAAATTAAAGCAGAGGAGAGCATCTTCAACCCGATTCCCTGAGCGTCCTTTACAGAAATCATTGCCCTAATCAAAACCACAATCCATCCCTCCCAGAGAAAAACATCTATATTATTATTACCATTATTACTGGTTAACAGCAACAAGTCATTTGATCACATCGCAGTGCAAAACGAGATGCTACACAATTACACTTAACTTTGAAAACACTCCCCCCCCCCTTTGCAAATCAGAGACACATATTTACAGATAATCTATGAATCAGAAGACAAATAAGACAAGAGCTGTTCTTCACCACGCAAAAGCCAAGCGGAGATTTACCTCAGCAGTGCCTGCAGTAAAATACTGCCATCACCCTTTTGTTTGTGTTTACTGTTAGTGTGTCCTCTCTGTTCCTTCCTCTCCTGTGCCTAACGTGTGTTTGTGCACTGCAGTGGGTGGTGGAAACTAAGGCAGAGGATCTGTAGCTAAGGGTAATCCTGTTTTTACTTCCTCCATCTTCAGCGAGGAGCAGGGTTAGCCCGGGACAGCTGGTCAAACCCCGAGAAACCGATCCGCCGGAGCCCGAGCACATCTCCCCCGCCGGCCGGGCTCGCGCAGACGCCCGCGGGCGGA